AGGGGGGTCGGCAAAATTGTAGGGGGCTACGTCATTTTGAGAATGTGGTTAGAGGGGGTTAACACATTTTGAAGGGGGTTAAGAACTATTGCAGGGTGATGGAAGGGGGGTTATGCAATCGTTGCCTTTACCATGGAGGGGTGGTTGGCTTATGCATGTTTGTAAAGCGTTCCAAGTGATTTTGCCTCCCAACCCCCCCCCCCCCCCCTGCGCTAATAAATGAAAGCCTCCTAAAAGGATTCAGAGTACAAATCATAGAAGGAACATACTTCGTGCTTCAGTCTTGATCTGTCCCAGGATATCTTTGTACACTTTGGAATGGTTCTGCGGACGATAGACGCTTGACGGACTCATCATCAGCTCCAGCGCGATGTGAACTCCATTCTCTGTCAGTCGTTTTGTGATAGTATTTTTCATTTCTATCCATTTGGTAACATTCTCGTAAATTATTGCCACTCTACGCCATTGGTAGTATTTTAGTAGAGAGAGTAAGCTAGGAGTGAGTTTGGTGTCAATAGCAAATGTTCTTGCGAATGTAGGGTAAAGCTTCTTGTCTGATACTTCGGGATTGCTGCACATCTAGTTAGAATAATAAAGGCATATGATAAAATATATGGGGCAGGAAAGAAGACAAAATAATGAACGCTACATGTATTAGCCTTTCCGAGATTAAGTAAAACTTGTGGGACCGTATTAGGCGACATATTTCCAAGATGGCGTCTATTCCGTCCCCTAAAACAGTCCCACAATGCAGTGCAATGCCAACTCGACCCAGGTTTCTTTCTCAACCTCGGAATGGCTAATAGTTTGACATATGTACACTATGTGATCGGTTCTCGCATCTGGTACTTGGAAGATTTCCCCCAGTCCCCAACAGAACGGACCAGAAACGCCTGCTATACTGGCGAAGTCAATCTAGACGTGACTTTTAAATGTCAACAACTTGGACGGAATTTAACTCTTGTCTATAGCTTTATATAGCTCCTTCTCCATTATGTGGTCCTCTTTCATCCACTTGACCGACTCCAACACTTAACAATAGCGATATTAGCCTTGCGTATTACCTAGTGTCCCTAAAGCGATCTCCAGTAATCCGGCAACTCGTTAACGTGCCTCTCCTCTTTAATCCTCTTGACCAACTGTAACACTTGACAATAGCGATATTAGCCTTACGTATTCCCTGTCCCTACGGTGGGACGTTCACCTCAATAAAGTGACCTCCTTAATCCGACGAAGCTACGGTCGGACGATACTGAGCGAACCCTTTAGTCCGAAAAACTCGATAACGTGATTCTCCTGTTTCAAAAACTTGACCGACTCTTTAGATTGACAAGAGTAATATTAGCCTTGTTTTTCGGTCTCATCAAATTAGGTGCCTCAGAAGTACTCTAAGTTTAAGTTCACAAGAGCCCCATTAATCATTAAGATGCTCAACAGCTTTCTGTTCTTTCATCAGGATTCATTATTCTTGAGAGATCTATCAATTATTATTTGTACAGTGTATCAATATCACAGATGCCGAAATGTCTATTTTAATAAGGGGTCATTGGATAATAATTGAATCCAATTCTTGATGAAAACAATAAGCTTATTATCCTATGGCCAAAAACTCACAAAAGCACCTTAATTGTAAACTTTGAAATTCTCAGAATCATCCACGTCAAAGGGATATTCATTTATGATTCTTTTCAATAAAATTACCTATTTTGGAACAATTTTAAGATCTCGGTTTCCGTGATATTCGTAAATCTTTTTTAAAGTATCAAAGTGGTCTTGTTTGTTTTGACGTTTACGCGTCATCTTTTTTTAACTTTTTTTAGCTCATTTTTTCGATATTTCCTTTTTTTATATCTTTATAATTCCAAAAATCTAAATCTGAATAAGCGGGAGTATAGCCGATACAGTGGATCGATATTTATATATGCTAACGTTAGGATTAATCACGTCTTTAGTCATTTTTGCTGAGCAGCTGCTGAGATATACCGTTAGTTATAGCACGTTCGGTTTCATTCATGTTCTGGCATACCGCGTTTTTTAAATATTTCCTCGTACATTGGACATTTCCTATTGGACCCCTGGAATAGCGCTTACAGAAAAGTATTGCATTATTATTATTATTWTTTTTTAATATATATTATTATATAAAGTGAAGTAATAGAAATTTAGATACCATGTAAATACTGGTGATCCCTCACTCAAAAAATACCCTTAACTAGATGGAAAATAATTGAATGAATGAATAAATAAGGTTATACTTACATATGATATCATGGAAACGTTGAAAGCAGCAGCGCTGCGAGCGGCAGTCGTACAGGTACACCCAGGGCCTATAAATCCAGAGACACCAGCGTTGAGTTGGTACACCAGCGCGCGAAGCGTTTTGAGTTCGTCACATTCTGTGTTGTTCCATATAAACGAAATGTTCCTGCCAGGAAGAAGGTCTGGTCGTCGATTGATCTCATCCACAGCAATACTAATAGCGGAAGCATAGTACTTTCCACGATGGAAATAGTTCGACAAACGGCTAGCATATGTAAATGGTATTAATAATCCAATTTTAACGTCTTTTTTGCTTTTCCCAGTAACAATAGATGCGCTTAAAGTCAGTGCAAGAATGAAGGCGGTCACACAATAAACGAGAATCGGTCTCATTTTAAGATCTGTTTAACATCGATCCGTTCTCGGTCGAACCGTGTTCAAAACAGGTCAATTGATGTGTTTGCTTCTAGCGGAGCTGATTATGATTAGTGCAGTAGAGGTGATAATTCCAAACGCGCCTAGAAGATGAATCCTTCTTGATTCAAATCCTGAGTGATGGAGTCGACGAGAAGTTGACGTTTATCTCAACCTTAAGCAGAGCTGCCAATACCAGTGAGTTCACAAACAAACACCAGAATTAACAAACAATATCGAAACCCCAACACGCTTTGTTCGATATTTCTTTAGTATTTCAATTTGTCGAACCCCAATACTTAGTTCCGCGATATTGGCTGGTTTTACTCCAGGCAACACAGATAATCCGGCTCAATCGAGAAACGACTGAACTGTACTAATTGAACCAACTTATAACGATGACTCCCATTTACGCTKTATCCAAAGTCAAATTATTGTCCTGAAAAAGAAAAACAAAGAAAGCACATCTTTGAGTCGAATTCAGTTTGTGTTTGTGTTGGGAGGTCGTTTTCCGGATGCCATACTTTTCAAAATACTCCGAGTTTATGAATTCAGGGGCAGAACGAAAATCTAGACTATGACAAACGCTGTCTGTCATGAAGAGACTCAAGTAGGTTTGTTATTGGATGAATTTAGAAGTCTTAGCTCTAAGCCTAGTTTAGCCTTTTCCTTTCTTCGACTGACAACCGGAAGACTGTTTCAATCGGTCGGGTATGAAGTCAGGAAAAAACTGTCTGCGTGGAATTCAAAACAGACCCAATCTAAAACAAATCGTTGTCCTGTGTGAATAAAACTTGACGTAGTCAAAATTAACCTCTTACTTTTATAGGCAGTTGTTATGAATTTAATCGTAAAATATTGATTGTTTTACCCTAAATAATCCAGAATACAGTCCGTATATTCTCATCTGTTCGAAAGCAAACTTTCGAACCAAAATCCAACTAAAATCGTAATGATTTTTTTCCTGTCAAAACTTGTCGAAAGCATTTGGCTGAAACCGCCCAATCGGATTACAGATAACGTTTGGAGTCTTATACAAAATGGCTGGCCTGTCAATGGAAGTAAAATGATTTGATTGTCAAATACGTTTGCAATAATCGAAATACCGCCTGGTTTTTCACTTCGTAACTAAAGTTTACCTCATCAACACTAAAGATATAGCAATATAGATGTTTTTGGATTTTCTCGGAACGCTAGAAAGTAGAAAAGAATAATAGCATAATACCTTAGCTTTTATATTAGACATGATGGCTATTTTCTGATAGGAAAAATCTGTATTGATATAAGTGCAAGTTGGGGAATATATTACATGTGCCATTTATTATCTCTGTTGTGGTTTTGTTGCTGTGTCTACGTTTTATCACTTGTTTCCTTTGCTTGAGTTTTTTCTTTCTCCCTTCCTGTGTATGTTTCTATATTTGGCTCCCTATCTTTGTCGCTTTCCTTTTAATTTCCTCTGGCGGCCAGAGTTTTAGTTATTTTTTTCTCCTCTTCTCTCTTTTATTTATTTTTTCATTTTATACTTGTTCGTTCGTTCGTTCTCAATTACTTTCACTCTTTCGTTCTTTGATTCAGTGATTCAGTGATTCATTCGTTCTTTCTTTCTTTCTTTCTTTCTCTTTCTTTTTTTCTCTCTTTCTTTCTTTCTATTTCACCTTACATTATCATAGGCTATTTGTATAAGCACTGCTTCCTCAGAAGAATGACGAAACATGTAAACTCATATAAAAACAAAAAAACAAACAAAACAAAACAAAAAACCGAACAGAAAAACCGAGCAAAATCAAGATAATTTTATAAAACCAAGATTATCAGTACAGACTCATGTTTGAGTATATGGAAAGATATAACTTTAAGGGAAAAAGAGTACACAAAGTAGTTTGCCTTCGTGTGATGGAACAAAGAGATTGCTCCATGACAACATCTGGTGTACAGTCGTAATGCTCGAGGGGGAAGTGATTAGCACAGCCCATCATTATTGAGTTAAGAATATAATAGAATATATGTATTGAATCGGTTTGCAAATCTTAACCAGTATACTTTGAGGCTACATAGCGGAGAAGATATTCTGGTTTAAGTTAAAAAATAGCAATTTGTGTTTTATCTGTTAAAGTCATCGCAAATCCTCACTTTCCCAGGATTATCTGAACCTTTAATTTTTTGTGCTTGGCTCTTTCTTTCTTTCTTTCTTTCTTTCTTTCTTTCTTTCTTTCTTTCTTTCTTTCTTTCTTTCTTTCCTTTCTGCCTTGTTAAGATAACATCAGATTATGCAACTGCTAATGAGCTAGACAGACCATGGCTGTCAACATGCAAGACTGACTGCCCAAACTGCCGGTCAACCAATTTTGTCGCTGATAGTAATTAACTGATCTGCAAGCCGCTACGATTTTGCGAGAGTTTCCCAAAAAAGGGATTTCTTCTATATTTTTTTAACTTTTTCAATTTTTTATCGATTTTTTCTGTCATTTAAAAAACAATTTTTTTGCATGTATGTCACTTTGTTCCCTATAAAGTTTATAAAAGAAAAACTGAGAAAATCAAATTCAAAACGTTAGATAAGCCTTGAAGCCTATTTCCTATGCAAAATTACCGTACTGAAACAATCTTTTCTTCACAATTGTAGCAAAATTAACTGATCGAGGCCGGAAAAGTAGGAATGTTTTTTCGCGGCAGCCTGATGTAAGTGTGTTGCTTTCTATTCATCGAGTGTAAAGAGGTTTCTTAAAGGAGTATACATAACATGAGATGATGAAATGGCAAGTGAAGAGTTTCTGAGAGCTTTGATACAATCATATCCCGCCATAATCTTGCCTCTCATTTTGATCCTAAATTACCGTATTACGTACAACGTTATATTATCTTGGGAGTTCTCGCTGCAAAAACATGCTTGATTTTTGACACTGTTTAAGTTTAATCTTATATCCAACCTTTCCGAAATCCCTTTTGCTGTTTTAAGAAAGCAGTTTGTTGACTTTTCCGTGTGATTTTTTGGTTTTATATATTCTACCTCCGGATATTTTATTCTCTTGAAAGAGATTAGGGTTACATGAGGATACAATTATGAGGAACTGTAATGTACATTAAGTTGGGTTTAGTCAAGTTTGGATTGAATGAAGTCGAAAGGAGAGACAGTTGGGCTTTGCTGTGTATTCCACAGGGGAGGGGAGGGGGGCGTGGTGGACATTAATTTTTAAGGATCTGAAGAGTTTCAGAGAAGGTCTGTCAAGAATGTTGGCTTATAGAGGAAGGAGGTTTTGGCAATTGGTGGCTACTAATTTGAGTATAGGTGATAGTCTGGCGGGAATGTGATTGCAAAAAAATATAACGCTGATTTTTCTCTATCTCCCACTCAAATTCAAACTGGTTAGAGCTGTATTCCGGGGTCATACATGGACTGCATAGCGGCTGCCAGAGGCGCCTTCAAATGCTTTCAGTTCGACCCACGTTGAGCTGCGCCACTGATGTACTTGCGGTGGTGATGAGTGATGACAACTTCTTTTTTTCGATCATTAAAACAAATAAATCACTCCCCCACCCCTGCCCCCCTGAATTTCGAATAATGGATATGCAGTTTTAGAGTTACTTATCCAGTGGTCGTATGTCTAAATGAAGCGGACGTGGGGTCTTTGGGATAAGCTGATTAGTACGTGTTATGCAGTTGATAAGCTGGATGTTTTTAAAGGTTTTGAGCAAACTAAGAAAACAACTTCAAATTTGGACTAAAACAAGAAAAAATGTCACTTGACAAAACAAATAGAGCCGATTCGTTGAGCCTTTTGGAGCCAGGAAGAAAAGAATGAAGACATGTCAGTTTGGAATTTCTATAAGCCGCCCTTATATATCATGTAGAAATAAAGAAAGAAAAAAAAGAAATACCGCTCTCAACTTAACACTATTTTAATTGCATGTAGGTCAACATGGAAAATGAAAAGAAAATGGCACGATTCCATCTAGAAAAAGCGTGATTTTTTTTTCCTTTTAGCTTCAAGATAATATTGAAAGGTGTCTATGAAGGAATAGATGAAAGAATATTATGGATGTATGAATAAATTAAAAAGTTGAATGGATAAGAATTAAGTAGAATAGCATGGGTACATCCGTCAAATCAACATGGCTGCCATCACGTGATGCTGTTAATTAGGAAACGAAAGAAAGCCATTGCCCAGGTAGCATTTCAAAATTAGTGAGTCTCAAATGACAAAATCTTTCTTGCTAATCAGATGAAAATTCAAAACTAGCCACAGTTTCTTAATTGCTCTTTTCTAAAGTGGCCAATTCCTCGAAGAACATTTCACTGAGCACATGACGGAAGTAAGAGTCAAACACGAACGAAATATGCAAATAATATCCTGCATTCTGATTGGCTGCTGAAATAAGATCAATAATAATATATAGATATAATAATATATATGTTGTTCATTAAAAGCCACGGACTGCGGTCTAATCTGGCAAAACGTTGAGCTTCCTACGACGTTAAGTTCTTCAGTCGTATTTGTAGTCTCAATTGCTACCATTACAAATGTTGTTTTTAATGCTTGTAAAACTCTAAGCTATATCTAATAAGACCACAAGTTTACGTCAACAGTAGTGTTGTTTTCGCAGTTTTTAGACGTGGTTTTGAGGTTTGTTTCTAGGTGAATGACAAGAAACATGCTGGTTGTATGCCATTATTAAGACTAAGGCAAATGATATGAGCCCAGTTTGATACTAATTTTATCTCGTTGTTAGTATTTGTGATTATGTAAACAATTTATCTGTGTGTTGAATGGTTTTACGAAATTAACTTTAAATKAAAAGAATCACTTACGAAAGCTGAAATTTAGCTACTAAGTCTTTTGGCATCAGTTAAGTAATGTATGTACTAATGATATAATGAATTAAGGCATTTCGCAAATCGTTCGCAAATTCGATTTTACGTGGATTAATATATGTTATTAATCACTGAACTTTATTTCTTTTCTGGGATTAATTTGTTAATTTTATCGAAAAAAAATTCAAACCGGAATTTTAAGAGGACAAGAACAATGATCGAGCAAAATATTAATAACGACATGTTTTTTTTCCCAATGGCGTCATAACTAATGATCGATTTTGATGAGTTCCATAAACAAAATACCACGTTCCATATTACATTAAACATATGAAAGGATATAAAAGTGCATGAGAATATATATGAAATATATATAAGATAAAAAATAAATGTTGTGAAAGGCATGGAAAAGTAGAAAGAGCGTAAAAAGGAACATTTCAAACGAGTTTGAAAATAGCTAATTCGTGCCCTGGAAAAAATTCATTTTCAAATTATAAAGGAAGTAATGGAAGTTCAAACAAAATAGTACCTTACCTTTCTACGGTGATTTTCCCTCAACTCTGTTTCAATCTTGTAAGCCTAAATTTTCGTCAGATGAAGGCGATGCCGATGATGTAAATCTGAAAAAGTTTAAAATAGACAAATTTGAGTCATCAAGGCTGCACAAAAAGTCGCTTTTGTGCTAACTGCCGCATTATCAAGACTAAACGCATAAGAATTCTTTTAAGCGAACTACACATACATGTATTACAATAAAAAACCTTTTATGGAGTCTAGAATCTTCGTCTCAATGCAGTGATGGCGATAAATCTGTTCAATGGATGGAGCCTCCTTGCTGATAATTATTCCGGCTAGTTCAGTGTGCTTTATACATGAGTCTGTCAGTTGGCGCTAGTTATTCTGCTCGTAGGTAGCAGATGTGCTTAATAGACACATAAATCATGACACGTCAATCGGGTAATATTTTTTTCGTGCTTTTAATGATGTTTCAGTGAAACACTGCCTCCTCGTTGTCTGACTCTTTTCAAAGCGTAATTGACGGACTAGCTCTGCAAATCTAGTGCTTTAATSATTATTGGGGTCTCGAGTTTCCTCTAACAAATCTACAAGAGTCAAAATAATATGTGAATCGAGATCTTAAAAAAAAACAGACCAAAAAACAACAAAATGTTTTTCAACCCGAACAATCAATAATGATCTGGTTGATAAGAAGAAAGGATGATTACAATTTATGGCTGGAAAATAAGTTTAGAGCCAAGTTTATGGATTTGTTTTCGCGCCATTTTTTGGCGGGTCAGGCAGCTCCCGCGCGCGTGCGCGTCCATTTTATTGATAACCAAAGCACCATATGTCATATACGCTCTTAAGATTTCAAGGGTCGGATAACACAACTACATTAAGGACAAGTGTTGTCCAAACTATCTACATCCTCAAAACTCACTCTTAATGGGTTTTTCACACGGTCTTTTTTCTTATCACCATGACAACTATTGAATTATACATCTGATATTTGCTTTAAGATGAGCGAAGATAAACACACATTTGACCTATAATATGAAATAACACCAAAGTAGCCAGAAAACTTTAACTATAACTTCCTTTCCCCTATGCCGTGCTTCTACCTTCCAGTAGTTGATAGTCCATTACTTCAGATATATCTTTTTTTGCGGTTATTTTTCCTTCCTATTTAGTTGCCATGGTGACGGCAGCTATCTGCTCTCCTACCTCGGATGATTGTGCAATGATAAACGAAATCAGTGTTAGTTATTATGTAGTGGGTAAGACTAGCCAGTCTGATATTTTTTCACGATAATTTCATACTAATAAATCATGCCAATAAAACCTTTATTTTTTCTCTTTTACTCTTTTTTTAAGATTTCTTAAAGATATCTAATCAAGACCGTAAGTGGACATCTTTTCACCTAAGCTTTTAACTAATGACGTATTTACAGTTGCAGCTGTTTTCCAAGACTGCTAACTGAAATGTGGTCAACAACTCAAAAAAAAAAAAAAAAAGATTTAAAAAAATGAACTCCTGCTTCCAACAATCATGATTTCAAACATTAAWTCCTTATATCATGCTAAAACTAAGAAAATTTCTTTTTAAAAAATTTTCCTTAAAATATCCTAAAACTGTTTTTCGTTTTGAAACGGGAAGTTGATTTTTAACTATGACTCGCGTGACACTGAAACGTTATTAGATTTAATCTATTTATACATTAATTTTAGTAATTCCTTGCTAAAGTTAATAACCTTAATTTTTATGACATCACGTGATACAACCACGTGATACAAGTTTTACTATAAGAATTTTCTAGCGAAAAGTCTTGGCTAAATTATGAAGAAAATATATAGCGCAGCGCACTGATTCTAAAAATAGCTTGAAGATTCGGACAAACATTGCATTCTGTTTAACCGCTACGAGGATTATACGAACCGATTTTATTATTTCTACTTAAAGTTACAATACTAACCCATGTAAACTAAGATCAACTGCGATCGGCTGTGAAAATTATCTGCTGAAAGTAAACTTGTAAGTTTGTTTGTCCGAACTTCGCCTTTGTCTTCGTTTTTATGACGTCGCGCTGCTCTATTGCAGTTACAAAAAATTGCGAATTTACAAAAATACAGTTAAGATGTAGTGTTGAGACTTTGTTTGATATAAGACATCCTGAGGTCGAGGAAATGGTCGAGTTGACATTGCATTGCATTGTGGGGCTGTTTTAGGGGACATATTTCCAAGATGTCGTCTATCTTGTCCCCTGCAACAGTCCCACAATGCATTGCAATGCCAATTCTTTCCAGTTTTTCCCTCGACCTCGGAGTGGCTTATAATAAATACACTAATAGTTTGGTTGAAATGGCTTCCCAAGACTTACTACCACCTCATGAATAAATTTGTAAGACACATTAACTCACAGCGTTATGTTTTCCATCCTCACGTTCTTTCCCCTTCAGGCTTAGTTGAGTAGGATTTTTCCCTGTCTCGAACGCGCAGGGAGTGGAAGCTAGTTTTAAGCGGACCCACTCCTCGCGCGCCCAAGACGGGGAAAAACCCAACTCGACTGAGTTTGGGAGTAATGACGACACCCCCGCTAAGAATAGCTGTCGAGATTGGCCAAAACAAACAATAGTTTTCATTATCGAATTGTTTTTTATAAATTGTTTCTCGTTGTATTATATTCATCTAATTAGGCTAGATTTCTTAGAGCTGCTACCTCGCCCTATATCAGGGCGGGAGGAGGAGGGCTCCCTCCTCCCGCCCTGCCTATATTCTGTAACTCTTGCTACTCCTCTGGTGCCCTTTCACTCTGGTGTCCTAAGCCCCAGTCTCCTAGTTTCATCGCACGCCTGTTAAGACTTGAACCCAGTATTCAGTAATGCATATGGTTGTATGTTGAGTTGAGATTAAATGCATCTAATTCTATCGATCAACTGACTCTCTCAGGCGATAAAGTCATGAAAGCAGATAAGCTGATAATTACGACTGGACGTGATAATGTCTACTTAGAGTATTAACAGAGACAGAATAATACTTCCGTTTATCGGTGCTTTGTGAGTGATCAGACATCTGACATTAAAGAAGAGGCATGAAGGTACGGTTTGCAAAGAGCTTTTTCGACAGCCTTAGGCTAGAGAACTACGCATGCATAATGACAAAACGATTCTGCGCGGAGAAATTAATATACTGCTAAGAATAAGAACAGACACAGTCAAAAAATATCGGAGTCATTTGAATTAATTTCGTCTTGCTTCTAAAATACTCTAGTAATGGGTGTGTGTTTTTAAAAAAAGGTCTCTATCATTGCAAGCTCACCGTTCGTCTCGCTTCGATGCAAAGGCACGGCTACCTTTCAAGATGGCACAGGGAACTGTGAAAGGGACTATTCTATCTGGTTGCAAAAAAACGCAATTCCCTAAACTAGTTCTAATTCTCTCCGGCTTCGAAAGGTCTCTGCTCTTTGGTACGTAAAAAGATAAACTTAATCGAAGGAATTACTGTTTCATTTGGGAATGATTTATAAGAAAATAAATAAATATCTATCACGCAGCTATGTGGCAGACAGTTTACTGACCTCGTTGTTCAACCTCATGAAATGAAAACAGCCACCTGTAAACCACCCTCAGTACAAGGAAAAGACAAAGGCAGCTTGGCAATGATCTTCCAAATAGAATCTATAGTGAATTTATATTTATACTGTGATGAGACCTGATTGCCAACCACTAATAACAGGTAATAAGTCGTTGGCATATTGGAGGGGGCTGAGTCCTGGAATAGAAGCGGTGTGGCGGGAAACCAAAGGTGTTGATTCACCTGCTACCTTGCGTTTGGTCTAACCTATTAGCCAAACCGGTAATGCTCGCATTATCACTCACTCTATAAGATAGGAAGAGTATGCCAAATATAGACCAGAAATGTTCTAGAATCCGAATTGCTTGATTGAAAGATGTCGGTCAAACTACCAGACTGTTTTACATTTACCAAAAACATTATTAACAAATTCTGGGAAGCCTAAGATTGAATATGCTCTGGTTTAATCACAGACAGCTAATCTATTTGTAATTATAAGATATGATATAACTATAAGATATAACATATGATAATGAGATATAAATATAACTTCTTATAGATAAATAATTTTTTGAAACATATATAAATGTCATCTCATCTAAAACTCGTAAAATTATCTAAAAAACTTTAAATACAATACTTACATAAATATGCAGAACAAAGCAAAACGCATAACATTGATCGAGAAATATCATCGAAAAAACTGGAAAGTTCCATGATGCTCGTGTTTAATCATAAAAACAGTAGTTAATCGTTATACAAATAGACCGTATAATAATAGGTATGTAAATTGATTTATATTTAGCTGTAGTTTCGAGTCTGCATTGCAGTGCATTGTGGGGCTGCTTTGGGAAACATATTTCCAAGATGGCGTCTATTTCGTCCGCTAAAGCATTCCCACAATGCACTGTAGTGCAGACTCGACTCAGTTTTCTCTTCAATCTCAGCGGATGCGCGGTTAATACCATACACTTCTACAAAGCTCGAAGCGATTTACTTCTGCAGAATAGCGGCACAAGCGGATGGATAGGACTTTTAAGATGCACAATTTCATCTATAGATCAATGTAATGCATGGTTCCTTCGCTAGTTGAGGTTTCTTTCATTTGAAATGGAAATGCAGCGTAAGCGGCCAACAGGAAAACACTCTTAACTAGATATCAAAATTGTACTCTATAGGCTTCAAACCATTGTTTCAAGTCGAGGCATTTGGGTCAATGCAACGGATATATAGAAAGTGACCCAAATGCAACAATTGTTTGAAAGCGTAACTCTGATATCTGCTATAAACTATAAACGAAGTGCTGAAGTGCCGAAGTGCCGAACTCCCTTATAGTTAAACAGCGCGAAAAAAAGCTAAATGCAAACATCGAGACAGCAAGCTTCTTTTAATATTACATGGTTCCTTCTCTCCTCTTTAGGGATTAAGCCGGATACATACATTTATACATACACTTTATTGGACTCCCAAAAGGGCTTTTCAGGCCAATTTACTATAAGATAATTCTAAAGAAATACATGTACAATCAAAGAAAATGATAAGAAAACAAAAAAAAAAAGAAAAAAGAAAAGAAAAAACTATTATTATTATGCTATGAATAAATTCTTGTGCATAACTATAAATATT